CAACGACGATGAAAATAGTGAGAACAAAGTGGGAAGTAGAATGAAGCGATGGCGTAGATGTGCCAAAAAAGTCCTTCTTACCGGCCCGTTGGAGAGTTGCATCTTAATGTGCTTAAAAACTCCTCACGTGAAACACCTCCTAGTCCTCTTGAAAATAAATCTCGTATATAAAGCGAAGTGAAATGACGCTGGGATGTCTGTTTGTTCAACCACAGCATTAAACACCCAAATCTCGTCACTGTATGGCCAGATCATTCTCTATCGACAGACCGGGGGAGATAGTCGGAGTTTCTTCTGTGACGCTACAGCAAAGAGACGGACAACCACTACCAACTCTATGAGATATTTGTGTTTAGCCTATAGTGGAGCTCCAGGTAAGTAGGTAAGATCATTGATGTTATAATAGCGACACATGCACATTCACTGTAAGGTCAACGAGAAATTACAGCGTCATGGAAACACTTTTTGATTTACATTCCTTCGAGGCTAATCACAGGACAATGGAAAGTGTCCACGAAGTTTCAGCCGAAAAAAGAGGTCGCACAATCATTTATTTGAAAAGCTTCTCGGGTCGCTCATATTGAAGTGTGGTTAGTAGAAGGTTTTCGACAAGTTACAGTCGAAAATTAAATCGAGAAGTCAGACACCTCCGCTTTCGGTGGAACATTTCTGATTGCTCCCTGCCCTCAGATGGCACGAAAACCAAGACACTAGCAATGGAAAACAGTCGCCGCCATGACGTATCCAATTGCTTTGACTCTCTTGAGTGAAACAGTGAACACGCATCTTACAGAGAACAAATTTGTCTCACACATTTAACATTTATATTTTTTGCTTAATTCTTGATTTGATGGTGACCACGTAATTTCTGAACACTGAAGTTTTTCCAGGCGTTCTTGACCTGATGGGAACCAGTCACAAGTCATAGTCAAACAGTTTCATTTCTGATCATTCAGTGACGAGCGATATTTCTTAAAAAAGCGCTCTTCGATGTTCCAGTGTCGCATTCGTTGTCCAAGACCAGCGCTGCGAGAGCAGAAGAGAGGCATAACAAATGGTTCTGTGTGCTTACCATCAGCTCTCGCACCAAGCTCCTGATGATTCAAGGCATGCTGCAGTCTCCCTGCTGTTAAACTATAAGTTACAAAAACGAAAAGTCCTGCCAAAAAATTGAGCAAATCTCTTATGAGTGGCAAAGAAATCAAAACACAAGCACAAATGTTTTTACCCCTGACTTGAACAAAAAAATTAATCTTTCTATTCTATAAAGCAGAAGAACTTTGTGTGTCCGGTTCCTGTCTGGTCTGTCATCGTTATGTAAGTATGATATGTTATGCTCTCCGCCGCCAAAAATTATGCTTCACTCGTTGGCTTCGATTTCGCTGGAGTCCGCGAAAACGACCCGCTAGCGCAAACAGGATTCGGTTGCCCACGGAAGCTATCAATCCAGATGCTCTCCTCGTGATCCCCGCGGATATCACGCCGTCCCGCCCCCTCCCCGCGCCCGTCATCATCATCATAGCCACCAGACCACTTTCGGTCGAGCTTCCACGAGTCCCATTGCCACGAGCTGGCTTGCCCGCTCTCTCCTCGCGCAGCCTGCTCGTACCCGTCCGCCGTGCCTTCCCCGTGCTGGACCGGCGCCTAGCGGTGGCACTCGGGCGTCTTCGTCCCGACTTCGTACCGCCTCTCCCGATCCGCGCACTTGGCGCGGGCGTCACACCCACCCTCCCCCTCTGCTCTCCTCTCCCCTGTGCGCCGGCAAGAGAACGGAAGCAGCAGGGACGGTCCGACTGGAACAGCGCGGCGTTTTTTCAAGGTATGATATAGATTATGGCACAGAACGTGTGGGTGACAAAGATTTGCTAGCTGATAAAGGGATCTAGAGCTGGAAAGCAGCACATACTCATAACGCGGTACACAGCATCCAGTTAGGCGTTGATTCAGCAAAGATAATCGAAGGGGAACCGAGCCGTTGTGACGTAGAACTGCGAGGCGTGCAGAATGATACCGATAAGGTCCTGATAGAGAACGATGGCAGATGTGAATTGCCTCAGTCAAAAAGCTGAAGCACGTCTTCACCACCACGAAATTAATGAGTTTCAGTATATAACGACAAATTGATGACGGTGACAAGCACTTTTATCAGTTATAAGTAAAGAATAAGGGACATACTCACGACATCTCTGACCACTATACTGCCAAAAAGCCTCTCAGTAAGCAAATAATTTTCACCACAGCCATCACTCCCTTGACAGTCAACTAAAAGAAATTACTCTATCGCCACTAGGGGGGGGGTATATAAGCTTGCGCCTCAAAAAACAGGAATTGGAAAATCAAAAACTTCAATATTGGAGCACACTTTATGCGTTCAGGAGTATTTAACTTCTTTTTGACTTTTTCAACTTTTAATCACTGATGAGAACGAATAACGAAGTAGTTTCGTGAGATACTGTTTTTGAGTATGCCTGATGTAAATAAGTATGAGGGGTGCAAATTTCGCTAGGTTACGCTTGTCTCATTATGATCAACCCACCTAACTGCCGCAATTTGAGCCAGCTCATCAATCGACAAATTCCATCCGTTATGCATGGCCCACCACTGCGAACGCTTGGCAGCTCGGGCCGAAGCCCAGCCTACAAAAGTAGACGCGCGCCCGGCGGCAGCTGGGCGAATTCGACTGGCGATCAAGAGCAGAAACGAAGCTCAACAGCAGATATTTTTTTTCTCTAAGAGAGCTCAAGATATTCTACAACGCAGCCTAAATTATTGTCATCTGCAAAGCATTCATGCAACCTTGCAGGGTGGATAGCATGTTAATGACAATTTAATCTGCCCACCGTTGGTGTTGTGATGCAGGTAATAAAAACGGGATTTTTGCGTCTACTTGCACACATATTGATATTCTGTACTTCCTTTATACTTCTATGATCTACGTTAGAATGGTTATGCCGAAAACCAGCAGGCCTTCTGGCAAAATATGAGGGCGTACGAGATTTCGCTAGGTACTCTGTCTATTATGATCTCGCCATAGAGGCGCGCAATATGAGCCAGCTCAGGCAATTAACAAAATTACTTGCCGTGCGCCTGCGAAGCACAGGCCAGTTCGGCGAAGCCGAGCCTGAAATAAGAAGAGGAGAGCTCGGCGTCAGCCGGGCGATCGACTGGTTAATCAATAAATGAATAAATAGACAAATGAATTGGTGGAGAATGTTTTCTGTGGTTTCTCCAGACAGGTATGTTCAACTAAGTGGCAACTACCGTGCTTCTCCCCAATCCCGTTAGCGGGAAAGTTTTCTGTGAAGGATGCCACAATGCGCCCTGAACGATCGTGACTGAGTTTTCTCTTCTTTGTATATAGTGAAAGGACTTTTTGTGAGACACTGGAACTGGCAACGAGTGCTGGGTCTCTTGCGTGAACCACACACATAAATTTCACAAAATCTCAAGGAAAAAAATCTTCTGCAGATGCAGAAAAGCAGAAGGGCTTGGAAAAAGATTTCATTATGCTAATGGTGGGAAATTACAGCGATTTTGGATACTAGCCAGCAGTGACATTCACAATGTACTCTAATCAACTTCGAGACATGATGTCACGCTTGATTTCAATCAGAAGCCCTCGGTTTCTTTCTATCTTTGGCAATGCGAAGACCACATGCAGCGATGAGGCTACGTTAACAGATCACGAATCTCGACCAAAGAATGTGGGCGTATCCAGCTTCTTCACCTAAATTAGCAGCCTTCAACTGCCACCAACTCCGGCTCCTACTGCATCCTTGAGACCTTCAAAACTTCAATCTTACGCGAAGTCTACTCGAAAATTAGAAACCTCTGATTAGGTCCACCTCTTTTTTCATCGCAGTTACCGTAGTTCTGCAAGAGTGGAATCGAGAAGCTGTGCGAAAGATGGGCACTTTTTCCAGATATCAATGGCAATTAGAAAAGTCGTTTAGTGAAGGAGAATTGAGTCCGAAATCCCGATCGAAATGTTGCTGGACTTTTTTCCGAACTGAAAGTGCGGGAGATCCCTCCCACAATAGAAATGAATGCAGCATCAGTGCCGTTAGAGGGGTGAAGCCTAAACTGAAAAAGCTGCTGATGGATCGGGTCAAGAGGAATGTGATGAAGCGAAGCAAAACAAACGGATATTCCCAATAGCTCTTTTCAAGGAAAAAGACCTGTCCGCGACTGCGCTCATACTTTGCGGCAGCGTCCACCAGCAAACATCGGCGTTTCGAGCGCCCATCAACGTCAGCGACTAGGAAGTAAATACTGTGTAGTGGTACAGTGCGGTTGCACTCGCCACAATTTCACGGCGAATAGTCCAGCTGTCTCCTTCCTCCTCTTTCCCCATATTCTACCAGTACTCTGCTACCTTTCTATTTTTACCCTCTACTTCTGGTCGGTGGTGGTTGCTTATAGACGCTGATATCTATACTTTCCAAGTCGCTGATGCTCACGGACGCTCGAAACGCTGATGGTTGCTGGTGAACACTGGTGAACACACCCGTAAAGTATGAACGCTACAGAAATATCTTTCTTTTTGCAAGAACAATAAAGAACCCCCAGTTTGTTGTGCTTGGTTCAATTACATTCCTCCTAACCAGACTCATTGACAGCTCCATGAACTGCTTCGTCCGTCGACTATAGGACATTGAGCAAGAAGTTCGAGCCAGGCGCATACCTGCTTGTGAATATAGATCTACAGACCCAACCAGACGATCCTCAGATTGCTTCGCGCTGGGCTTAATATGTGTGTAGTGAGTAATGAAGTGCGCTTATCCCACAAAAAGATCTACCAACGGCCAAGACTTTATTCTTTGAATGTTACCAAACTTCTGTTAGCAGTTTTTCATTTGAAAGCCGTCAGGAGACCGCACACAATTCTCATACCTGAGTATAACTTCAGTCAAGGCGTATCATACTGTGCTTATCAAAATACGAAGCAGAGTAGGTATGAGGTCATTTTCTATGCTTGTCTGGGTGCTGTAAGGTCGCAAATGAAAGACTGTCAGCAGATCATCGAATGCTTACTACACTACGGCCCATTTTTGTCCATGATTTTGTTACAGGTGAGTGGCTTTTGTGGTTGAGTTATTTTTCACCAAAAAGACAATTTCAGAGCATACTTTTATGCATTGAAAAGAGACAACAACCGGCAAAAGATCCAGAAACCCCAACGGTGAGGCTCTTCCAGAAATTGTTGTTAGCCTACATAGGTACACCCCTGTTCTCTGCCCACGATAGGACTTGCCAGTGAGGTTCAGTTTGACGAGCCGACCCACTTACTAGTTACTGAAGCGGGTAAGTGACAACACCCGCGCCAAACCCTTCTTCCCCTTCACACGCCTCATCATTCGCAGTGTGCAACACTAAGAAATCAGAGACATCACAGAATACTGCTGATAATGGATCTGATTTTCAGATGGCGAAGGACGGCACGAAGGGTGAGTTCAATCCCAACTTTGATAGAACTGTAGCTGAGGTGCATTTTGTATGCGTTTTAGCCTCTACCACGACCTGAGGAGGTCGGTCATGATTTAAACCGCGCGAAGGGGACGTGTAGGCACCGCCACTTGCCGCTGTACCACTTGGCCGTCTTATTTCGATATGCTCATGTGTTTTCTGAAGCGTAGCTGTAGCACCTACTCATCTAGAATTCGTCTCCAGAAAAGAGCTCTTCTCAGAGAGCGCTACTGGTACCGTTTGTAACGTCGCAACCGGTTGGGACGGTTCCAAGAGGAATGGGGAACTTACTTGCGGCGCTTCCACCACTGCTTGTTTTCTTCTTTAATGGAACACCATCCGAGCACCATTGGTAGAGCAAGGCATTCGGATGCCGGTTCATTCCACCCCATCCCCCTGATGAGGCGGGCTCATTCCGCAGCTACTGCCGGAAGGGCGTAGGGGGGGTGACCGAATGCCCTCTCGCAACCCTTCCATCTATGACCTTGGCAGCATTCGCCGGACCCCAGCCATCGTGTTCACTACCTTTAAAACCAGGAACTGTTGCGACCTCTCCACGATTTACGTGAGGCTTACCGATGAAAGATTCGGTACAGAGGCATGTATTCAGCACAAAAAGTAGGGTAGTGATGTTCTGAATTCTAACCCTGATGAGGCACAGCGAATGGAAAGCCCTTTACGTTGGCCTGTTCTGCTCTTGGAAAGTGTCTCATAGGGAAGAGGAGGAGAAAAGGTACAGTCGTTGGGGCATATTCAAGTGGAACATACAGTAATCAGATCCAAGATAGCATGAAAGAAATAAAAATCATCAATAAATGAGGATAAAATGTTTTTTTTTCAGTGGAGGGAGAATCATGCAGCAGTCCAGGAAGTGTAGTGTCGGCTGAAAAACTAAAAACGAATCCGGTTGGGCCGAAAGAGTCTCAAGAAAAACCGTTAGGGGATGCGGCAAATAATGACGCTGTGACTACTGCTAAGCTTCAGAAAATCGGCAGTAAAGAAGGCGTAAGAAAAAAAGTGCAAAAACAACCGGATGTTGAAGTGGATACAGAAGACACCATCTATGAGCGCCGTAGCCGGACCCGAGGAGATTCCGTTCGCCTATCCCGAAAGAAAAGTGTGCGCCTGGACGTAGAAGCAACTCAAGAGGGGCAAAACGAGGAAGAATCGAGTGGCGATGTGCGGCCAACGAGTGACTCCCGACCAACGAGCCCGAATGTTCGGGAAAAAACTGACACTGTGTTGCTTGGAGAGTGGATAAAAGAACAGGCAACGCAAGTACAGCACAGAACACCTGCAAGTATCAGAGCCAGTCCTCTCAAATCTACACAACGCAGTACCATAAAAGAACGTCCTCCTCAGGGTTCATCTTACAATAACACTCCGTTAGCAGCCACACCTACTCAACCACCTGAAAAAACTCCTTCGCTGCCAAGGGCCCAGATGTCCGGAGAGGTAAGCACATTGAGAATCTCGCACCACTGTGTGTTAGTTGAACACTCATGGCAGAAAGCGGTAAAGTTTGCGCTGTGGGATCCATGATGAGGGGGGGGGAGCATTCGATCCCCCCCTCTGCTCGTCCTCCAAATGGAGGGGGGAGGTATGAGACCAATGCAGAGAAGATAAGGCGGATTGGGCAGGGAAGCGGCTGTGATGAGCTGGTGCTGGAGAATACTGGATAAAGTTCGTTTCCATAGGTGGAATCAGAAGATGACCTTTGATAAGGTTCGCTCACAGTTCGCAGCAGTGTCCATCAGCGTCTACTAGCGTCCACTAGCATACCGAGCGTCTGCAGCGTCAGCGACTAGGAAAGCATGGGTATCGATCCAGCGTCTGCCAGCGCTCACCAGGGTTCACTAGCGACGGGAGTAGGGGAAGTAGCAGGGTAGCAAAGCTGGGTTATGCGTCGTGATATTGCGGCGTGTTCCATTGCACCGTAGTGCAAGGTGTAGTGCACGACTACACTACGCCTTGCACTACTGAATTGCATAATTCTGTGCTTTAGCAAGGCAGGGATAGCCGAGTGGTCACGAGTGTAGACGTATAATCTCACTCTGAGCCAAAAGTTCAATTCCTGCCGAGGCGCAAACAATGCCTTGCAGAAATTGCAAAAGTGGTGATTGCCAGCGTCAGGCCCAAGTTGACAGGCCGGCTGATGGAGAACCGGTCACAACAATCATGACAAGTCGCAATAGAATCAGTGTTAATGCCAGGACGTCACCCGGAAATGATGGCTAAAGAAGCTAGTTCGAACTGGCAAGCTGAACGTGGGATCGCGGACCGGAAAATCTAGAGAGGTAGCTGTTCTTGAAGGAGCATCCAAATCCTATGACTTCAAGAAATGCGCTGGAAAGGAGCAAAGGTCTGCGAGATTGGGGAGGGGTTGAAGTCTTCGACAATGGTGGAGACGCCAAGTGGAACGGAGTGCTATAGCGGTAGCGGAACCCCTCAAGGACTACGTTTCCTCTGTGAACAGGGTCAGTGATTGAATCATAAGGGTCAGAGTGCACACGAAGGAGAGGTTCTGAGCAATAGTGGCCGCATATACGCACCATCCTACTATATATAATCCGCTATGTGTGTCTGTGTGTGTGTCTGTGTGTGTTTTGTGTGTGTGTGTGTGTGTGTCACGAATTCATAGCGAGGTCGCAGAAAAGATAGGATGACAGTTCAGAACGTGATATACATGGCAGACGGGGACACTTTTGGTGGGTGTCAGGAGGTGATAAACACTTGATAAGATACGAATAAGGGGCCGTAGAAGGGGAAGGGTGACTGAATTCGTAGCGCAAGTTGCAGCAGTGTGGGACCGTGGATTCCAAGGAGTGATATACATGCAGGACGGGAACACTTTTGAATGGGTGACAGGAGGTGATAACACTTGAAAGATACGATAAAGGGCCGTAGAAGGGCAGAGGGTGACCGGAATCGTAGCGCAATTTGCCAGGCAGCTGCAGGAAGCGTGATTTCAAGAAGTGATATACAGCAGGACGGGAACACTTTAGGTGCGGTGAGCGGAGTGATGACACACTTGATAAAAGATTCGATAAGGGGCCTTAGAAGGGGGGGTGACCAAACATCATAGCGCAAGTTGCAGCCAGCTGCCGGGACCGTGATTTCAAGGAGTGATATACTGTGCAGGACGAGAACACTTTTGGTGTCGTAACAGGGTGATACACTTGATAAGATTCGATAAGGGCCTCAAAGGGAGGGTTACGCGAGTTTCGTGCAAGTTGCACGCAACGGAGGGACCATGATTTCAAGTACTGATATCCGTAAGGTGGGGCTGGCAGAAGCTGATAACAGTTGATAAGATCCGATAAGGGGCCTCGGAAGAGGAGGGTCATCAAATTCTTGGCGCAGGTTACAGCAACAGTGGGAACTCAGATCCGTGGAGGTGATCTAAGGGTGTGGGACGGGAACAGTTATTGGCGGCGACAGAAAGTGTTAACAGTTGATAAGATACGATAATCGGCCTCGGAAGGGGAGGGTATCAAATTCGCAACGCAGGTTACAGCAACAGTGGACGCCTCGATCCGAAAGGTGATATAGGTGATATGAATAGTGATACGGGACGGGAGTGTTATTGGCGGGTACGGAATGATAGGAGCTGAAATTGACAAGGTAGCCATGGGAAAATCCGTTTCACCGCTCACAACAACAATGCGATCGATATGACTCAAGTAAAACGATCTCAGTTGTCCTCAACAGAACTCATTCTCACTGCTTTTAGTAACGACATCGTGTACGACCGCTAAGCCAGCTCTATTCAAATGCATGTGGTTTGTTTACAGAGATGTTATAAACAGCAGCAACTGACTTTAACACTCTTACACAATTATCTTCCACCAGCAACTTCAGTGAGGGCATTTAAAGGTTCCACTGCTGAATGTGGTAGTGCATTCAAAGCAAGAGACGCTTTGGATAGAGCATAAAGTATAGGTGCTTCAGTGGCTGTCCAAACAGGCTGCACTATTTCCGTGTTGGTTATGAACGTACCAGTCGGATCGCTGGCTAGGCCGGCTTTCCTCCTTCTGTGATGCGGGGGGGGGGGGCGCTGCTGCTGCTTCTGCGCCTTGACGAACAAGCGCTGCTTTTCAGTTCTTGGCTGATGCAGAAGATTCCTTTGAACAGTGTGGTTGGTCAACGATCCTTAACTTAGCACGCGGCAAATCGCATGGCCCGGCGAAGCCGGGCCATGTCACAGAAGGAGGAGCGCCCGGCGACAGCCGGGCGATCCGACTGGTAAGCTGATGCCTCGAGCTCGAAAAGGATGGCTTCTACATGACCCTGGCTCACCGAGTAATAAAGGATCTTGGACCTGGCAGCAGCCCACGACCTATCGGTCTGCAGCACATCCTTCGCAAAGAGGCAGATTCAGAAGGTAACCTACAGTAGTGGAGGGAGTCAAATGGTAATGGACCATGTGCTCGTGAGAAGACCCTTCAAAACTGTTGGGACAATGAGGTGCTACCTGGTGAAGTACTGGGCCCTCACCAGAGATCCCTCCTAGCATACATTGCCTTAAATCTCCCCACTAAGGTGAGGGTAAGAACTGAGAATAGGATACGGTGTTGCAGTTACGTCAAGTGGAGAAGGATGTGTTCGGAAGAAGAGTACTGGAGACAAGAGCATGTCCAGGACACTTGAACCAGCGCAATAGATGTCACCCTTCAGTGTGCTGAAGAAGTCCTGGGAGAGACATGAGAGGGAATCATAGGAGACAAGGCAGCGTAGTACTAGGGCGATGATGTCTACAGGTGGTTAAGTGGAAGAAGCAGGCGTACAAGCAATGGCAGAAGACAAACACCCGAGAGGATCGCGCTGTCTACATGAGGTGCAAACGACCCACTAAGGCAGCAGCCGTGGCCAAGACGAAGAACACGGATATGGACGCCTGTATGATAAATTGGACAGTCCAGAAGCAGACAAGTTCGTCCTCCAGCTGGCTAAGGCCCGCCATCGGGCTAACCAAAGACATCGGGGTAGTGAAAGCTGTTTGCGGAACCATCCTGAATAAGCCAGTCGAAGTCAAGAGAAGAGGGAAGGGTATTTCAGAAAACTTTCAAACAAGGAATTCCCTCGCAAAGGCAGCCCGCAAAAAAAAGCCGACGGAATATGGGGTTTGTAGGGAGTCAGGAAGAATGAAGGTTGGCAAGCCGACTGGTCCAGATGGTATCCCGATTGAAGCTTGGAAGCCCTTGGAGAGCATAGAGTAAGTTGGTGCAGCCGCTTCTATACTAACATAACAGCCGAAGGAAGAATGCCGGATGCTTGTAGGTGCAGTACAATCGTCTACATCTTCAAAGGAGACGCGACGGACTGCTTCAACTATCGGAGCATCATACTAAAAGGACATACCATTAAGCTGTACGAGAGGTTAGTCAACACCAGATTGAGGAACCTCGTTCCGATATCGCATGAGCAGTTCCACTCCATGTTCGGAAGGTCCACTACGGACACCATGTTCATCGCCAGACAGGTGATGGAGAAGTATCGACAGAAGCGTCGACCTTGCTACCTACATTGATGGATCTCGAGAAGGTCTTCGATCGCTTACCGTGCCCTGTACTCTAGAGGGCTCTCAGAAAATGGAATGTTCCCGAACATCTAATCTCCCTGGTGGACATGTACGATGGGGCAGAGGCGGCAGTACGCACCCCGCACGGCCTTACAATGAGGTAGACATAAGTGTTGGGGTACAACTCTTAGCTTTAGCCCCTTTTCCTTCCTACTGACCCTGGATGTCGTGGCAAAGAAGCTTATGAAGAGGCCCCTAAAGAACCATCCTCTACGCCCATGACATTCCCTTGATGGCGGAGAGCAGAGGAGAACTTCAAGGAAAGAAGCGAAAATGGCAGGAGGTACTTGTTACTACTTATGGCATACGGCTGAATGTCAAAAAGACAAAAATGTTGAGCTCTGAGGATTGCAACATGCCCATTCTGAGGATTGCAACGAGCCCATTCTGGGTAGTCATGGAGAACCTGTCGAAAGAGTGGAAAACTTCTGCTACCTGAGAAGTGATCCGTGATGGTGGCGTGGACCAGGCAGTGAAGGCTCGTAAAGCTGGGATGAAGTGGAGGAAGTTCACTTGCATCCTCTGCGATTGGCGATGCTCCAAGACCCTCAAACGCAAGGTGTACCGGGCAAGGGTGAGGCCGACGAGCTCTACGGCATCGATTGCTGGCCTATATGCGAGAAACATGAAAGGCACCTCCACTCAGCTGAAATGAGGATGTTGAGATAGGCCTGCGGTTGGACACGATTAGATCGAGTTAAAACGAAGACGTCAGAGCGGTCACAGCTACAATCCAGCCAAAGGCAAGAGAGCAGCGGCCGCGGTGGTATAGACAGGTGCTGAGAATTCTCGAGGAACATCCGATAAAGGCTCTGGACTCCGAAGCACGAGGCAGGCCACCTGGAGGTGCCCCGAAGAAAAGGTGGAAGGACGTGTTCAAGAAATCCTTACTAAAGTGAATGTCACAGCAAAGGACGCCCACGATGGGAAAAGGTGGCCACTGTTAACAAGAACAGCGGGC